TCTGTTCCTGCACTTTGGAAAGAAGGATATGTACTATGTACAAGGATAACATCATCTGCCCACCTTGAATACTTTCCAACAGCTTGATAAAGATATGAAATCCTTGAACATTAGTCACTGACCCTTTGTGTTTCACTAAATTGGGCTCCTTTGTACTAAATAAATGTGATATGGTTTTTCCCTCCCTTTTCCTTCAAAGTTACATAAGCAGCATTCAGAGTATTGGACTCTGAGGCATCATTACTGTCAGACGGGCCATTGTGTTGCCAGCACTGTAACAGAGAATGACGTCAACCCAGCCTTCCCTTATGGGCTTTATATAGCACAGCACCCTATCTTCTGCTATATGTAAACACCAATTCCCTGAAAAAATGTGTTATGTTGTTGCTGCAAGGCAAGCAATGGGAAGCGAAGCAAAGAGGAGGAATGGAAGGCAATGCAAAAACAGCCCCCTTTTTTCTAAGTCTAATCCCTCTTAGTAGGGGAGCGATAAGCGTGTTTTGACTTAGCCCCAAATTTCCTGTTGTTTATGCATCCTTTGCCAAACCACGTGGATCCCTGCAGAGTCGGATAATCTTAGTGATGCCAGTTTGGCAGAGCTGCAAATATACCACTGCCTCCTGGCCCAGGTCAGATCACAACAGCGGGGTAGAAAACAAAATGCCTCTGCGTCTGCTTGCTTTCATTTTTCCCTCCCTCTATTCATCTTTGTATAAGCATTTGCTCATAGATAGGAATCTATCACAGCTGGTGGCTTTGTTGACGTGTGCTGCTCATTCCTCTATGGTGCTCATGAGCTCTTTGCTTGCAGTGGAGATGGAGATTGGTGCAATCACGACTCAGGGCAAAGCCTATTTACCCAGGGAAAAAAAACCTGACGTTAAAAACCAGTGGCATCACAAACAGCCAGTTCCTTGCTTGTGAGTGGAAAAGCCTCTTGATTTCCTACCAGGGCCTTTTTCTGGGTTTCACAGTAAAGATGGGTGCATTTGTGATGTGGTGTTCACTTGGATTATCAGTTAGCTTGTGAAACTCCTCACTTTCTCTCTAACACCTCACACTTTTAGCTTGATGTAGAGGAGGACCACGGGGACTCCTGTGCATACTGTAAACATTACATCTGATGCTGTAAATTCCTAACGTTGTATTTCTGAGTCACGCATACCAAACGCACTCCAAATAATTCAGATTGACTGAGCAACCGTGTGTAATTTTGCTTGCACAGACACTTGGAAGTTTCCAATCACACTCTAACGCAATCACACTATAACGGTTCAAATTGTGTAGCTTAGTGTAATAGGTTTGAGTATTTCTGTGCAAAATGTGCCTGTTTTGGCTTGGTCATCATTACAGTACACTTAACAAGTAAATGTAAACCTGCTGTGAAAGTCATGTTCTTGAGTTAGATAAGGGATATAATACCCATTCTTTGCTCCATTAACAACAATGAGAAACAGAAGACTGTAGCTGAAGTAGGCGCACAGCATTACAGCTCTTAGGGTTACATTACCTGAGTTCTGATTCTGGGAGCCCAATAATGTTTTGTTCACAGCTCGGCTAATGGACACTGGAAAGGACTATGCTGACTGTAAGTCTCCTAATGCTGTGAAATTAATAATGAAGGGACAAAAATGGACTCCCACTGGACTTACAGCATTTTTCACATCCTTGTCAAGTTGACTGTGAATGCAACTGCCATCCCTCGTGGGCACACACAGGTGATCCGTGAGGGCTTTTGACCAGGACATTGTTACCAGTGTACAGAGCCTGAGGCAGTGGGAAAATGTTGGCACCGTGCAGCCTGTTTGCAGAAGAAAATGCTGACCCTACAGTACATATGCTGCAGCAAGAAAAAATAAAACAAGCATTATTGAACAAAAACTCAACAGTGGAGAGCTGGAGGCGGATTGTTTGGGGACATTGAAGAGAAAAAAACAGCACCATCCTCTGCAGTTAGACCTGACATCAGGTCACAGTACTGAACCCGTGATCTTTATCACATGTCAGTGCCAGTTTGCCTCAATGATCACTGAGAGTGTTAGCCGAGTCAGTCAATGTTGTCAACTGTAAAACCAGTTAGAAACCTAGTGGTTAAAATTCAGTCGATCACTGATGGCATTTTGGTATCTGCAAACTGACAAAGTCCAGCCCCTTCAACCATTACACTATATTATAGGGTCATATGACATGGTATTATATGGCATTAGGGTTGTCACAGTGGTATAACTGTTGGCAACTTTTAGATCAAAGGGAAGACAGAGAAGTTTGGCTTTACACTCAGACTTAAGTCTTTTCTATACAGCACTGCAGATGACTCTGGAGATACAGGGTGTACTTCCGTAGTTCATAAGGTTTGTGGATTAGGCTTCACCTAAGCAATGCTGTTTTGAGTTCAAGCTTCAAAAAGTGAGTGTTGCGTTGCTTAAGAAATAAACAGCTGGAAGCTACATTAGTGTGGTGAAATATATATCTATTTATCTATATATGTCTTATTGTTTAGGTATGTGCTGCATTGTCTCATTTTGCTTTGCAACTGACTGACTCTAGATTGAACTTTTCACTGTAGAGGCCTCACAAACATGCCTGTGAAGCCATAAATAAATTGGTATTTGACTGAACTCTGCTGTCCTGCTATAAAAAACAATGAACTGTACACAAGCACACATCAACATGGATAACACTGTTTGCACGTATACTGTACACATTCTCTTCACCCATCTCTATCTCCCTCTTTCTTTGTGAGACACGCACTTCAACACATTGATTCTGTCATCCTCATTTGATCTCTGACACACGCACACGCGCACACGCACATGCGCACACACACACACACTGTTTTTATACCATTTGGCCTTGTAGCTCAGTGAAACAGAGCTAGAAGAGGGGCTTCTGCTCTGCTGATGAGACAGTAATTAGTACCAGCTCCTAAGGGAGTGGAGATAGACTTCACACAGCTTTCTCTGTCTCTGTCTTTCTGTCTGTGTCTCTCTCTCGTCCTCCATGCCCATTTACAGCAGCAGCAGGTCTCTTCTCCTCACTCATTCTCCAACCTCATTATGTGCCATCCAAACAAACATGCAGCTTCCTCAAAATAGTCATTAGCACAATCTGGCATATAACTTCTTCTGCCTTTGTTTGGCTTCGTGAAAACTTCCACCACCTGAAGTTGTGTAAGGAAAAGATAAACCATAAGGTAGAAAAATCTATAAAAATACAAAAGGATTGCAGTCCATTAAGGGCTTTTTTTGTAGGAAAATGGTCAGTGAGTGTATGTGTGTTTTTTTTTTTTTAACTAAACAGACTTTGGGGAACACTTTCTACTTGTGTTTATTCACAGCTCGGCCTTTGCTTCCTCCAACAGACTGTTTGGGTTTGTTCGATTTAGAAACACACACACACACACACACTGTGATAGACAGCATTTCCATGGAGATTATACATTTTCATTAGCCAGTAAGACACTATGTCATGTGTGCTGCTTTGGTCCATCAGGGGATGGGCACTTGGGTGAAATGGGCAGAAAGATTCTGTTCGCTTCAGCAGTTTTGCTGGAATGATTGAAAGTGTGTGTGAGGGGAGCGGAGTGCTGGGAATCTTGTATTGCTGTTTCAGGACTTTTTCAGACTATAGATAGATAGTGTTTCAGGGGCCATTTTCCCCTTTTTTCCCTTTTTTTTCCCTCAAAGTTTTTATTGGAGCTCCCGAGTATGAGCTTGTTTTTTTTACTCTGTCATGATATGTTTGTGTGTCGGTGTGTTAGTGTATCTGAGCATTTTGTCTGTATACATGTGAGAGTACAAGAACATATGTAAGTGGATAGACCTTCTGCTGGGTGTTTTGGGATTACCTGTTCAGATTAGCCCGGTGAACTCATTTATAAACTGTGCAACCCGAACCCAAGATCTCGTCATTCTTTTAATAGGCTTTGAGGAGTTGTCGTAGGCAGATTTGATTTGACCTAGCTCAGCCAGCCAGTACCTTTGATACATTTTACATAAGGAGTCTAATTCTAAAGTCTTTTCCTGCAAAAGAGAATATCTAAGGAATATCTGTCATTCTACACTGTAGTTGAGATTTCCATTTAGAAATGCTGTTTTGTCAACATTGCAAATTTAATTCAATGTAGTTTTATGTGTAGTTTGCCATGTGGTCAGGAACGGACAAACCAAAAAATGGCTCTACATAGGGCGTTTTGTGGTTTTTGCAAGTCTTGCGCAGCCCTCGTAGTTTTTCCTACACACCTGACAATGCTAAAGAAGTGCAACCAAGCTAAACGGATGGAGTTCTCTTTTAAATTCAAAGGGAGAGAGTTTCAAAGTTTAGGAGGCATAATTTTAAAGGCACAATCTCTTTTAGTTGAGCAACCAAAAAGTCCTGATCAGACACCTAATAGTGACATAGGACAGCAGTTCTCTCTGATTTCTGATTCTAAATTTGATTGGCCACCAGTATAAAGAAATCAAGATCAGAATTACAGGAGACCTTTTTTAGAGGACCTGGTTAAAAGCTTTGCCGCAGGATTCTGGACCATTTGTAAATCATCCATATATCTACACCACCACAGACTAGAACACATACTGCAATATTTGTTCTTCAGGTTGTTATTGAAGATTTTGTCTCGAGCAAGGTCTTAACTCTGGACTCCTACTGTCCTCCAATGGGGGATACTGGATATTGCATTATCCCTTTTGCTGTAGAGAAGTCTGCACTGGGCGAGCAGAGCGATGTTAATAAATTCACCCTTAACAAGGGGGTGATTAGCCTATTGATCCTCTCTCCCAACTTCCTTGCTGATGCAAAACTTGTCTTGCACAATTACATTTCTCTGACATCCACAACCTCAGATGCAAATAAGCTTTGATTCGCCTGCCCTTGAACGCTGAAGGTCACGCAGCATTTCCCACCCCCGCTGTATACGCACAATGACACTGCCACATACAACAGTCTCATAAACATAACAATAATGGGTTCTGCCTCTGTGATTTGCTTGTGCCCTGCAGACTGAAGAAGAAGTCTCAGTCGGTGGATATTGCCAGTCAAGGTTTCTCCCCGACACTGGTGCCAGCCTCGCCCCTCAACAAGGCTGCACCACCTGTTGCCAAGACAACCACCGTCCTTGCCGTGCAGGAAAACAACACTAACAACGCCCAGCGCCGCAGCCCCCGGTGTGGCGAGCTGAAGAGAGGCTACACCATAGGTAAATGACACAGGGACTGGGGTTCTGATGTGACATTTGCATTTCTCTAAACTCTAGGCTGACTATTCATATAATAAATTACATCCATGAACTTTAATCATAGTTTTGCCACCAATACATTATATCATTGTAAAATCAGCCTTTGCTCCATTCTCAGTGTATTTACTGGAATATTTAATTAGAATTTGATGTCCAGCTGTTATTGTATTATCAAATTGCTACTGAGCTTCTGGGGAAGGCTTGTTATTATTCAGTGTGCGCATGTGGGTGTGGGGATATTTGAAGTTCACGCACTTTCTGAACTGTTGACATGAACTTCCTACTCAGCCAAACTTCACCGTGTCACATCCACGGCTGGCTCTCCCCGTTTCTCATCTTCTAATTCATTTCCTGCCTGCAAATTATAATTACGTGACTCTGATGAGATTTATTCCTGTGATGAATCCCATTTTTGGTGGGGGGGTGCTGTCTGCGGCAGGGTAGGTTGCTACTGTGATAGTAAGTATACTTCAGAGAGCTGACTTCTCACGGATGATGAAATGAGTTTGAGCTACACTAATTCCAAACTCATAAATGCAATGCATCTGTGTTTGCTTCATTGATGTGATTCAGTTAGTAAGCTGCTCAGGTCAAGGTGAGAAGGAGTGAGTGTGTAGGAAAGTACTTTTAAATGCTGCTAAGCCAATGGAGGTAATCTGCTAGAACTTTATTTCTGACTGATTCCTCTTGTATTTGTGGCAACATCTTCGGTGCTTGTTGTTGTGCTGTGATTGCTCTATGTGGTTCTTTTTCTTCTACTATATTTTCTTGATATAATGCATACCAAAGCTATATTTATAAAGAAAATACTCCTGTTGTTGCTGCAGGACTTGATTTGAGCATTACAAAACACTTTCACAAACTTTAAAGTGGAAACCAGTGTTGTGTCACCATTAGCTAGCAGCAAAATTGAGACAAATCAATATGGACCTACCAGAGTTTCCAGACACCAAATATGGGGTGCTGAATTTCAGGGAAATGTGTCCATAATTACACACAAGCCATTTAGAATTTTCAATTTCATGCAATGTTGCAGCAATTAAAAATGGCACATTGGGTCTGAACATTTTCATACGAGCATGATATCCTATCAGCAAGCAGTGGGAAACAGTAGAAAGAGAATACATATGCGACGTATTTCATTTATAAATCTGAAACTCAAGAGAAAAGTATGGTTAAAGAGGTTAATGATTTTACATACTGGGCTTAATGGTACCATGGAAACTGGATGATGCACAAATGTAAAAACATAGAAAACAGAGAGGCGGGGTCAGCAATGAGAGAGAGAATATGAGAGGGTGCAAAAGAGGAGGCACATGAAAGCGGAAAGCCCAAAAAAACAGTTGTTTAAGTGTCCCTCATGATGAAAATATAATGGACAACAAAGTGGGAGTTGACAACAATGATGCCTTGTTGCCTTTTAGTTTCGTGCTCAGTGCCTAATTACAAATGAACCGAGAGGTGTAAACATTAAGTCCTCGTTCATTGGACCGTTTTGGTGATCATCAGTGCTGCAACAGAAGTAAATCAAATTCTAGTGACTGACAGCCAGTCATGCAGCAACTTACTGCTTCAAATTTGTCTATTTATGTTCTGTCACAAAGAGCTCACGAAGAATTAAGTAATTATGAACATTATTAGACCACGACTGGACTTAATGTCATAAATAATGATGGGAGAAAAACTGGACATTTCTTACTGTAACATTACAAGTGGGTGTACGCCTGTAGTTCCATTACATGGAGGAGGACAAAAATACAACACACTTCTGTTTCAACCACCTTACATCTGATTGATCAGGAAAAATCCCTGCTCGTGCTGATTAAGGCTGCAACCAATTATTATTTCCATATTTTCTCAATTAACCAATTCGTTTTTCAATCCTTCAGATGTGAGAAAATGGTGTGGATGGATTTAATTCTAGTTTAGTTTTTGAATTCATGCTAAAATTACTTATCTGCTGTGCGAAAAATCCAGTTTGCCTTGCTTTTACATCCCCATGAAGTTTGATTGGAACTGGACCAAGACCGACCTCTTTGGGCAGTTTCCATCTGCTGTTGTGGTCCACACCGGAGCTGAATTGAGAGCTTTTTACACTAAATGAACCAAACCAATGGGCCAATGCGCCAGAGTGTGAAACGCACCAAACAAGTTAAATGTGAACGTACCTTTAGATAACACAAATACCTTGACTCAGAAATACTGTGTGACTTTGCGTTGAAAATGAGCTGGAATAAAGAGAAACTGCTCATGACTTCAGCACACTTTACTCTTCCCAACCAAAGCGAAGAAGTGTCATCAAGATGGATAGTTTCTACCTAAAGCATCTCAGTTGAGTTTATGCTGATCCGTCCGCTTATTTTCCATTTGCCGCCTCTTGCCGCTCTCTTAATGGAGTCCTCAGTAAATTTAAATTTCACTGCATGTCCTTGAGCATGCAGTCTGCGATTAGTCATGTAAATGAGTGCAGCAGCTTTAAACTTTGCAGCAGTGGCTATTCTGCTGTGGAGTTCAGTGTCTGGGTTGCGGGGAGGATCATGACACGTGGTGTCATAGGTCACCGTTTGCATCACTGCGGAAGAGGAGAATGAAGAGAGGGTGAAGGTGTGTCAGTCCACTTTCGTGTCTGCTGGTGTCACACTCTGATAAGCTTTCTACAGAGTCATCATGTTTCGACTCTGCTCCTCCGGCCCAGGCATCGACAGGAGAACGGATTGATCTGCGGTTGCTCGTATCAGCTCAGTCGACGATAATCGATGAAAGAAATGGTGGGATAAAAGCTTGGCAGGACAGGTGGAGTGACTGTTGATATTACAGCCTGTCTCTCAACATCCATTTTCCATTCACCGGCGACTGTGGGCTCTTTTTAAAAGCGTGGGGTCGGAAGTCACAGTCATTCAGCCATTAAATGAAACGCGACTGTGACTCATTGTGCTTTTACAGCTTTTAACTACAAAGCCTCTGATGCATGAGTCATAGCAGTTAATCATTTGCTCTAGCTAGCGTTGGCCTAGTTAAACCACATTCAGATCAAGGCCTGAGTTTTCAGCATAGACATACTGCATCTGTCAGTCATTTACACTGTTATATCACATAATGAGACATTGATTGGTGACTGTCCCATCTCTTTCTAGTTACCATCTAGATGGGGTCGAGTAAGTGGAGCCCTGTGGCATTTTTATATAGTCAAACCAAGGCCAGGCTGCTCATACGGGGCTGATCATGCTAATTTATTCTAATGGGATAGTAATAATGTGGCAGGCAGCTTGCTGTGCTGTCTACCAGGTTTCAGACAGACCTGTCATTAGAGGCACACAGCGCATTCACCACCGACATTTTAATAACCCGACCAATGAGCCTCCCGGCGGGACAATGCTGTCCGCCATTCTCACCTCTGAGAAAAAGCGGCGATTGATATGTTGATGGTGTTTTTACATTAAATGTGCGACATTTTCACCGTCATTGTGGTGTCCTTTAACTCCAAATGAAGAGGAGCAGGCATCCACACATGCTCTGAGGGAGGTTGTCAAAGCAAAGACGGAAGGAAGCAAAAAAAAGAGGAGAGAAGGAAGATGGATAGAGCATATTATATTCCGGAACAAGTGTATTCACATGAGATGGGACAGACAAAGAACTTGTGTTTTTTACTTACGAAAGAAAAAGGAAGGGAAATGAAGGGAGAGGGAAGGAAAGAAGAGGAATGAGAATAATGCGCATAGATATAGATATAGATAGATAGAGAGATAGAGATAGAGA